CCAAAAACTGTCAAATGTCCACTTTTACCACTTCAACAATGTGTGTGTTTAAAACAATTTAATGCAGTTGTTGAGGCAATAAAAATAAGTACTACATGCATGAAGTTTTCCACATCAAATATAATATAAGGCTAAGATAATATACAAGATTAAAGTCGTAATATTTTGAGAATAAATGTAAAATTACAAGAATGAATTCATAGGACGATAATGATATCAATATGAAAATAAAATTGAGAAAGTCAAAAGGATGTGGTGTACCAGAAATGTCTCGGTTATGTATGGTAACCCTTGTTCAGGAGGGAACGGAGACATCTTGTCGGAGAAGTTTCCAAAGAATTGGGATCACGCTAGGGAGACCAATTGCCTTCGAGTGAATTAAAACGAGCCATTGAACATTGGCATGCAGGACTTGCATTCCGCGGCTTGCCTGCCTTCACACATGTTTTATGCTGAGGAGCCGGACGGTGTCCAGTCCTCTGCGAAGGTACAGCAAGCATGGCGACAGTACGAGACGTAGGAGTTTCCGAACGAAAGGGAACGTCTCGGTTACGTATGGTATCCCTCGTTCCCTGAGGAGGAAAGGAAGACATCTCGTCCCGTCGCCATGCTTGCTGCACCTTCGCAGAGGACTGGACACCGAAATAGGACTTTCCTATTGGGAATGCTGCGAAGGGAGGCACTGGAGATAGACATGTGTCGGTAATGCGATAAATCGCGGTAATGAATATGCACAATATTGTTATCGCGGGCACTTCAAAATACCGTGAAAAATAATAGATTCGAATTTAGACTTTAAGAATGCGCATTGGCTTTCCATCAACCGCTTAAACACTGCGTACAGTGGGACAAAAAGTATTTAGTCAGCCACTGATTGTGCAAGTTCTCCTACTTTTCATCTTTCATGAGAGACAAAATGAAAATATATATAATATCCAGGAAATCACATTGTTGGATTTTTTTAGAATTTATTGGTAAATTATGGTGGGAAATAAGTATTTGTTCAATAACAAACCAGCAAGATTTCTGGCTCTCACAGACCTGAAACTACTTCTTTAAGAAGCTCTTCTGTCCTCCACTCATTACCTGTATTATTGGCACCTGTTTGAACCCGTTATCTGTATAAAAGACACCTGTCCACAGCCTCAAACAGTCAAACTCCAAACTCAACCATGGCCAAGACCAAAGAGCCGTCGAAGGACACCAGGAAGAAAATTGTAGACCTGCACCAGGCTGGGAAGAGTGAATCTACAATAAAAATCAATGGGAGCAATTGTAAGAAAATGTAAGACATACAAGACCACTGATTAATCTCCCTCAATCTGGGGCTCCACACAAGATCTCATCCCATGGGGTCAAAATAATCATGAGAACGGTGAGCAAAAATCCCAGAACTACACGGAGGGACCTGATGAATGACCTGCAGAGAGCTGGGACCAAAGTAACAAAGGTAAACTCAAATCCTGCAGTGCCCGGCGTGTCCCCTGCTTAAGCCAGTATATGTCCAGGCCCATCTGAAATTTGCCAGAGAGCAAATGGATGATCCAGAAGAGGATTTGGAGAATATCAGTTGGTCAGATGAAACCAAAATATTAACTTTTTGGTAAAAACTCAACTCGTCTAACACAGTCTCATCCCAAAAAGTCATATAACTGACGTCTTGGGGCGTTTTTTGACCATACGTCAATATCCGCCTTTTTAGGGCCCCCTTAAACGTCGGTAGATGGCGATCCCGGGCCGTCATACAACTGACGCTTTACCTTTAACGTCAGTAAGGTGACGGGTTGGGTTTAGGGTTAGGTTTAGGTCTGGGGTAGAGTTAGGATCCCATAACCTCATCTACCGACGTTTAAGGGGGCCCTAAAAAGGCGAATATTGACATATGGTCAAAAGACGTCCCAAAACGTCAGTAATATGACGTCTTGGGATGAGACCGGGTTGACTCGTCTTGTTTGGAGGAAAAAGAATGCAGAGTTGCGTCCCAAGAACACCATACAGTGAAGTATGGGGGAGGAAACATCATGCTTTGGGGTTGTTTTTCTGCAAAGGGGACAGGAAAACTGATCCGTGTTGAGGGAAGAATGAACGGGGTCTTGTATTGTGAGATTTTAAGCCAACACCTCCTTCCATCAGTGAGAGCCTTGTAGATGAAACGTGGCTGGATCTTCCAGCATGACAATGATCCCAAACACAGCACCCAGGCAACGAAGGAGTGGCTCCGTTAAAAGCATTTCATGGTCCTGGAGTGGCCTAGCCAGTCTCCAGACCTCAACCCCATAGAAAATTTGTGGAGGGAGTGGAAAGTCTGTGTTGCCCAGCGACAGCCCCAAAACATCACTGCTCTAGAGGAGATCTGCATGGAGGAATGGGAAAAAATACCAGCTACAGTGTGTGCAAACCTGGTGAAGACTTACAGGAAACATTGACCTCTGTCATTGCCAACAAAGTTTATGTTACAAAGTATCGAGTTGAACTTTTGTTATTGACAAAATACTTATTTTCCACCAAATTTACAAATAAATTCTTTAAAATCCACTGTAAAAAAAATATTGATTAAGTTTAACTTAAAAAAGTAACCTGGTTGCCTTAAAATTTTAAGTTCATTGAACTGGAAAAAGTGAGTTAATACAATGAAGGAGATTAATTTAACCATCAGAAACTCAAAATTATATGTTATCTGAACTAAATAAAATTATTTAAGTTGATTTGACAAAAGAAAAAATGTTGTGATTACTACATTGTAAAAAAAATATTTTTGGTTTAAAGGTATAGCTGAGGATCTTTCCGAATTTTAGAGAAGACCCGCCCTCTCCAATTTTTTAAAAAAATGCACATGGACAAACACAACACTCTATTACGCCTTACACAATTATGTTCCAAATTATAAACTAACTCAAAAACATTCATAAAAAAGACAACATATCAAATGCCCTTCCGTGTTTTATTTACTTATTATACTGATCGATTGAGTGACCGAGGACTCAAGACATGGTATGTACAACCCTGTATCACACGAAATACGTTCTGAGGGAACTATTTTGCAAATCACAATTACATACATGGCAACATACTGTATAAGCAGTGCTATTACGTTGGTCCTTAACCTAATATGTCTCATTGTTAATAATACGTTATTTTTATACATAGTTGCATATGTAATGGAGAAGTAGCTTGTTGCATTTGTGTAATAATAAACACACAAGGTTTTAGAATATGAACACATGAACACACAAGGTTTTAGAATATTTCAGGGTGATACCATTTATCATTTTGTCAAAAGGCTACTTTAGACAAATTGAGATGTTTACCGTGTCTATGCGGTGCATGACTTGTGCCAGGGCTAGCATTGCTAAGTAGCTTGCATTAACTTTTACTAGTGATTTTAAATGGATTTCTCCAAATAGCATGACAAACTTTACCTGTCTGGTAGAATCTTCGCGACTATGGCATCAGTGAGAAGCCCAACCTGTGCTTTTAGCGCACGCCAGCATGTGATATTCACCCAAAATCACTCTGGTCTTGTTTCTATATTCTGCGGCCTTTCTCTTCTTATCATACACTTCGTATACATTTTTTTTTTCTCTTTCGACCCTCAGCCATTTTCAAAGGAATGGCTGAAACCGCAACTCCGACATAATACACCTGAAAGTGAAAAGTACATAGGGATGAGCACGTACTTACGTAAACATATCACCAGAATGATTGACACTTAGGTGGACCAATAGTATAGACTACCCACCCGGAAAAAGAAAATCCTCCGCTATACCTTTAACTTAAAAAAGTAAGTAACCTGGGTTGCCTTAAAATTTTAAGTTGATTGAACTGGAAAAAGTGAGTTAATACAATGAAGTAGATTAATTTAACCATCAGAAACTCAAAATAATAAGTTATCTCAACTAAATAAATTATTATAATGTTGATTTGATGTTGTGATAACAAATCTTGAAAATATTTTTTACAGTGTACAATGTGATTTCCTGGATTTTTTGTCTCTCATTGTTAAAGTGTACCTATGATGAACATTACAGACTTCGCTCGTCATTCTAAGGAGGAGAACTTGCATAATCAGTGGCTGACTAAATAATTTGTGGCCCCAATGTAATAATCGGCAAGGCTCTTTCTTGAACGGTGGAGAGAACTCAAAGAATTGAACATTTTTAAATCAGACGCCGAGGTTGCATTGTTTCTACTGGACAGGTAAGTAGCTTCAAGTACTGACTTTTTTGTACGTGAACTGTGTGTGAAAATATAATTCTTTAAAAAATATGAGTGAAGCTCGACTAAACTTGGATAGCTCTAGCGAATATCAGATTGTAGGGATTTAGTATGTGAGTTGCTTCAACTGTAATTGTAGCCAAAACATTGTAGCCTATTATTGGCAATAACACTAGCCTTATAGACATTATGTACAGTAGCCCCACCCCTTTACAGTGTTGCGCTCGTTGTCTTTTGACTTCCGGTATGAATTTTATTATTCATAAAATTCATACCTTGACTTTATGGTATGAATGAACTGCTCATAAAAAAAATTCCCGGTCGACATTTGTTAAGACATCTGCTTTAAATGCTTATGATAAACAGTACAATGCTCATGACAACTTTTGTTAACAATAAGTAAATCCACTTCAGCAGCCAATTACTCCTCGACAGCGATGCCATAGAAATATACAGAGAGACCGCAAAACTGGAAGTTCAAAGACAATATTCTAAAGATGACGGCGCCCACGTTTCTCTGGTGCATAAGGTTTATACGTTCAGTAATAACTTTTGCTGAATAATAATAAGCTGTTATAAAATTATTCCAGATAGCTGTTGTTACCATGAGTTTTAGATCTCCTCAGAAGAGTTCCACACTGTGGAAGGCAAGGCTGAATGTGATGAGATATGTAGTTATCTCCCTGCAGAAACATCAATAGTTATCACTGAGGCCGATGTCATGGCAAGCCTTTGTAAATTAAGGCCTAATAAGACCACTGAGAAGCACCTGGCTGCAGCCTGCAGATCGGGGTGGGGCTACACCTGGGGCGGGGGTACACGTGTAGCCACGCCCACAATGCTTCCCATTGGTTAGGGGCAAAGTGATGACGTCGATCGAGGTGGGGCCGCGCCCGTAAACTCATGACGTCGCTTTCTAACTTGTTTTCATTTCCGCTGTTCTTCGCTGCATGGTGAGTACAGTCTACTCTTCTTTTTTTTCCCTCTGATTTTATTTACAATTTTTAATTCTGAAGTGGCGTTTAGTGTGATGATACAATGAAGTGGTATAACAATAAGATTGTGTAACTTTACTCACCATATCACACAAATAACTGGGGCAGCGTTTCCCAAAAGCATCGTAGGCCTGTGTGTGTGTGTGTGTGTGTGTGTGTGTGTGTGTGTGTGTGTGTGTGTGTGTGTGTGTGTGTGTGTGTGTGTGTGTGCGGGCGTATGTTAGTGTGGATTTGGTGGGATTAGGAGGATATTAGTGTTAAAAATGAACCAGAAGAAAAACATGATTTAACAGTTAAAAGTAACAATATACAAAGTTATATTGTAAGACTTTTTTTCTATAAATAAATTGATTAAATGTAAACTATTTTGTAATTAATAAGATTACATTTATTTAATTGAACATGTAAAAAATATGCTTATTCTTATGCTCTATTCTTCATTCTCTTTGCTTATCCTTGGCATTGTCATCCTTATTTATATTCCCTGGGTACCACTTTTGCTATTTTACTTTATATATATTTTGGTGTTTGCTGATAATTATTCTCTAACACATACTCTAGTCCTCCATCTCTCTCACCTATTTTTTGTTGTTGTTTACTTTATAAATCCAAGGTTTTAAGAGCCATTCCCCCTGCAAAAATGTACACAACTGTGTTAAGCAAGAGGGGGGTGTGAGCAGTAGTAGGTGCCCATTCTGTCAGTACACCAGCATGCCATATGGCCGATGTATTACCACATCAAAAATAATTTTCTATCCTATCCTAATCCATCTATTCATCTCTGTGTGCCTATCTATCTCTACCTATCTGTCATATCCATACATCTGTCTGTGCTTGATAAACTATATTGCCCTCAAAACTTTTAGGATAGGCTTGCTCAAGCCAAATTAAAGTTTTTATTTAGAGTTTATATTCTTCATAAACAATTAAGTCTCTTAGGTACTTAGGTACTAAGTATAAAAAAGAAATTCCTTGTATGACTCTGTACTGATAATGCCATTCTTCAAAATGATTCAATATTTTTTGTTTTGTATTTTATCTAAATTAGGTGTTGTGAACTGGAGTGCAAGAGTTCCAGGTGCCCTCGTTGACTGTGCTAGTTGCACTGTACTGAAACACACAAGGACTGCCCACCTGGGTGTGTATGTGATGGCAGAAGGGGAGTCCTGCATGCATTTTCTTCCGTGAAGGAGGTTGAAGGCTAGTTTTTTCAATGATGGAGGGGAATTTCAGGCTGAGTAGATTGTGTGAGAGTGTACGTGTGTGAGTGTACGCGTGTGTGTTTGTGTGTGTGTGTGTGTGTGTCTATGTGTGCATGTATTTGTGTGTAGGTGATTATCTGAACATCTCTTTACACAATTTTTCAAACTTGTTTTGAAATAAAAGTTATCACTGGTATGAGTTTGGTTTTTTTGAGTTTGCATGCATAATATGGTTTGCAGAGATTGACAATGTACTGTATGTAGTTATTTTAACTTCAAACTTTATTGGCATAAATGTTTTATAATAACATATAATGCACATAGAACTATTACAGAGGAATGCTTAAAATAAGAAATATATTTAGGTGCCATTAATGTTTACAGTTATTTTGTTACTTACATGGTGAAGTGCTACAGAATGTGAAAAACTACAAAGATATTACACAATACTCAGTAATTCCTTATACACTGAACTTGGATCAGGCATAGTTAAAACTATGGATATGTGCTCTACTCCTTTTTGCTGCTTTCATTATTACTTTAGAGATTTTTAATACTTAATCATTTTATTAAAAGTATTATTTCAAATTTGCACATGCGTTTTGAAGCATCGACATCATTAGCCTACTGTACCACAACTAAAATACGATGCATGTGCTTTCAGCGTGGTATATATATAGCACAAAAAAACTTATATATCACCTTTATATATATATATATATATATATATACAGGCTATATATATATATATATATATATATACATACATACAGAGAGGGGCTTCTACATGAACCACAGGGATTTGTAATGGGCTAAAATGCAAATTCTCTCTTGAAGACAGTAAATAGATCCTGTGTTTTAAACATTTACATTTGTGGATGAAAAATGTACCCAAGATAATTAAAGTGTTTAAAATCATTTCTTAGTTTTTGTCTTTCATTATAATTCCTAATGTTGTTATCTCTAGTGAAACTGGAGAGAGATAAGGCTCAAGCCAATAATATATGTCACACCAGAATGTGTTGCTGTAAGAGCAGGAGAAAAACAAATGATCCGTGGTCTCTAAGTTAATATACAGTTAGCTCTAAGTTAAATCTACGTGAGAGGTTTGAGCGCGATTTAGCGCGTGAGTTTTTCAACCCCATTTCCTGTTTACCGTGCATGGCGTCGACGTCATTGCTGTACCACTAACCAATGAGAAGCGTTTTGGGCGGGACTACACATGCAGCCCCGCCCTACTGCGGCCCCGCCTCGATCGACGTCATCACTTTGTCACTAACCAATGAGAATTGTTATGGGCGGAGCTGCACGTGTAGCCCCGCCCCAGGTGTAGCCCCACCCCGATCTGCAGGCTGCAGACAGGTGTACTTGGGACCACTGGCCCAGATGGTTTAAAAGCATGCCTTTAGACGGGTGGGACATTCCACATACTGCTGGAGAGTAGGCAAATATTCCAATAAATCACATGAATTAAAATCCCCAAAAATTAAAACAGGTTGGTCTGCAGAACGAGTGAGAGCATCATTATAGCTTTTCGCTATTCTCACCCCTGCTGCCGTGAAATTAGGCCCAGGTACATAGGTGAATATGACCGTAATCTGGCCAAATTCCTGCGGGAGATAAAATGGTCTAAAAGAAATCCTTAAAATCTCAAAGTCCGGCATTTCAAGAATATCAGTCTTGTTTCCACAATTATGAAAATCTGACCTTTTTGCCAATTCCCCTCTGTTCTCTTCTGACATCTGGACTGGCAGTGAGTGACTTAAAAACTTGACTTGAATTTCACAAATACTTCTACCCAGCCAACATGTATATGTGGGCCTCACATGGTTTATGCTTGGGCTACGTGGGTACCAAGTGGGTATGGTCCCAAAATGGGCATCTTTTCTGGGGCCCACTTGGGTCAGCTACGTCGGTCCCACATGGGCAAAAATAGGTGGGCTCCCTATGTGGGTCCTAGTTGGGTCACTAATGGGAAATGAGGGCATGGGCTCAAAATGGGGAACACAAATGGGGCCCATTTGGGTTTATCAAATGGATGAGACATTGGCAAATACAACCAGTCCCATATAGGCTGCCTGCGTGGGCCCAAGGTAGTACCCACATAGATAATCTCTATATGGGTTATGAATGGGAAAAATATATGGGGTCCACTTTCATAACCCATATGGGTCAGACATGGGCAAACACAATCAGTCCTATATAGGCTGCCTACATGAGCCCAATGTGGCACCCACGTTGGTAATCTCTATATGGGTTTTGAATGGGGCAATACATATGGGGCCCACATGGCCAAACTATATCGGACAGACATGTGCAAACACAATCAATCCCATATAAGCAACCTATATAGGCCCAAGATAGTTCCCTCATAGGTAATCTCTATATGGGTTCTGAATGGGAAAAACATATGGGGCCCACTTTGATAAACCGCATGGGTCAGACATGGGCAAACACAAACAGTCCCATTTAGGCTGCCTACATGGGCCCAAGGTAGTTCCCTCATAGGTAATCTCTATATGGGTTCTGAATGGGAAAAACATATGGGGCCCACTTTGATAAACCGCATGGGTCAGACATGGGCAAACACAAACAGTCCCATTTAGGCTGCCTACATGGGCCCAAGGTAGTTCCCTCATAGGTAATCTCTATATGGGTTCTGAATGGGAAAAACATATGGGGCCCACTTTGATAAACCGCATGGGTCAGACATGGGCAAACACAAACAGTCCCATTTAGGCTGCCTACATGGGCCCAAGGTAGTTCCCTCATAGGTAATCTCTATATGGGTTCTGAATGGGAAAAACATATGGGGCCCACTTTGATAAACCGCATGGGTCAGACATGGGCAAACACAAACAGTCCCATATAGGCTGCCTACATGGGCCCAAGGTAGTTCCCTCATAGGTAATCTCTATATGGGTTCTGAATGTGAAAAATATATGGGGCCCATTTTGATAAACCACATGGGTCAGATATGGGCAAACACAAGCAGTCCCATATAGGCTGCCTACATGGGCCCAAGGTAGTTCCCTCATAGGTAATCTCTATATGGGTTCTGAATGTGAAAAATATATGGGGCCCATTTTGATAAACCGCATGGGTCAGATATGGGCAAACACAAGCAGTCCCATATAGGCTGCCTACATGGGCCCAAGGTAGTTCCCTCATAAGTAATCTCTATATGGGTTCTGAATGTGAAAAATATATGGGGCCCATTTTGATAAACCGCATGGGTCAGATATGGGCAAACACAAACAGTCCCATATAGGCTGCCTACATGGGCCCACAAGGTAGTTCCCTCATAAGTAATCTCTATATGGGTTCTGAATGTGAAAAATATATGGGGCCCATTTTGATAAACCGCATAGGTCAGACATGGGCAAACACAAGCAGTCCCATTTAGGCTGCCTACATGGGCCCAAGGTAGTTCCCTCATAGGTAATCTCTATATGGGTTGTGAATGGGAAAAACATATGGGGCCCACTTTGATAAACCGCATGGGTCAGATATGGGCAAACACAAACAGTCCCATTTAGGCTGCCTACATGGGCCCAAGGTAGTTCCCTCATAGGTAATCTCTATATGGGTTCTGAATGGGAAACACATATGGGGCCCACTTTGATAAACCGCATGGGTCAGATATGGGCAAACACAAACAGTCCCATTTAGGCTGCCTACATGGGCCCAAAGTAGTTTCCACATAAGTAATCTCTATATGGGTTCTGAAGGTGAAAAATATATGGGGCCCATTTTGATAAACCGCATGGGTCAGATATGGGCAAACACAAGCAGTCCCATATAGGCTGCCTACATGGGCTCAAGGTAGTTCCCTCGTAAGTAATCTCTATATGGGTTCTGAATGTGAAAAATATATGGGGCCCATTTTGATAAACCGCATGGGTCAGATATGGGCAAACACAAGCAGTCCCATTTAGGCTGCCTACATGGGCCCAAGGTAGTTCCCTCATAGGTAATCTCTATATGGGTTCTGAATGTGAAAAATATATGGGGCCCATTTTGATAAACCGCATGGGTCAGACATGGGCAAACACAAACAGTCCCATATAGGCTGCCTACATGGGCCCACAAGGTAGTTCCCTCATAAGTAATCTCTATATGGGTTCTGAATGTGAAAAATATATGGGGCCCATTTTGATAAACCGCATGGGTCAGACATGGGCAAACACAAGCAGTCCCATTTAGGCTGCCTACATGGGCCCAAGGTAGTTCCCTCATAGGTAATCTCTATATGGGTTCTGAATGGGAAAAACATATGGGGCCCACTTTGATAAACCGCATGGGTCAGATATGGGCAAACACAAACAGTCCCATTTAGGCTGCCTACATGGGCCCAAGGTAGTTCCCTCATAGGCAATCTCTATATGGGTTCTGAATGGGAAAAACATATGGGGCCCACTTTGATAAACCGCATGGGTCAGATATGGGCAAACACAAACAGTCCCATTTAGGCTGCCTACATGGGCCCAAAGTAGTTTCCACATAAGTAATCTCTATATGGGTTCTGAATGTGAAAAATATATGGGGCCCATTTTGATAAACCGCATGGGTCAGATATGGGCAAACACAAGCAGTCCCATATAGGCTGCCTACATGGGCTCAAGGTAGTTCCCTCGTAAGTAATCTCTATATGGGTTCTGAATGTGAAAAATATATGGGGCCCATTTTGATAAACCGCATGGGTCAGATATGGGCAAACACAAGCAGTCCCATTTAGGCTGCCTACATGGGCCCAAGGTAGTTCCCTCATAGGTAATCTCTATATGGGTTCTGAATGTGAAAAATATATGGGGCCCATTTTGATAAACCGCATGGGTCAGACATGGGCAAACACAAACAGTCCCATATAGGCTGCCTACATGGGCCCACAAGGTAGTTCCCTCATAAGTAATCTCTATATGGGTTCTGAATGTGAAAAACATATGGGGCCCATTTTGATAAACCGCATGGGTCAGATATGGGCAAACACAAGCAGTCCCATTTAGGCTGCCTACATGGGCCCAAGGTAGTTCCCTCATAGGTAATCTCTATATGGGTTCTGAATGGGAAAAACATATGGGGCCCACTTTGATAAACCGCATGGGTCAGATATGGGCAAACACAAACAGTCCCATTTAGGCTGCCTACATGGGCCCAAAGTAGTTTCCACATAAGTAATCTCTATATGGGTTCTGA